GGATCGGCTGAGTTCACCTCAGCCTTTGACAAAACCCACCTCATAAAAGAAATGATTATTTTAATATTAAATTCGCGATTTTTTGCAAAGTAAGAGGATTATTGCAAAATAAAGTATAGGGAAACAAATATTCTCTCGACCTCTACCAAAGTACGTAACTATCTTGGTTATCCGAAAGAAAAGGTTTTTAAGTGGCCCAGTTGACGTATTTTGATCAAATTTTAATTGGATAATTGTTTATTTTTATTTTTCATCAGTCACTGCTTTACGAAACAATTAATATCTCAGGCCCTATATGGAGACACCCTTTAAAAGTTTGTCAGTTAAATCTTTGATATATGCATATATGTAAAACTTCTATATTGGCAGTAAGCTAACTTATCAATGTGTATAGCTAAGCTGACCAACCGTCCTCCTTTGAGGAGGATTGTCCTCCTCAAACGTGATTTGTCCTCCTCCAAAATATTGTCCTTCTCCGTCCTCCTTTTGAGCAAAAATGCCCTCCTTGTCCTCCTTTTCAAGTTTTATAGCAGTCATGAAATTTTCAAAAAATTTCGTTAAGAATATTATTATTTCCTAATTGGACACAATCATTAGAAAAAGGTTTTAATGTCTTAAATTGTGTTTTATAGTAATCACCATTTTAACACTTTCATAGTCAACTTAAAATGCATTTTGTGGCAAAAACAGAGCTTTAACGTTAAATTGAGGAGAACATGATTTTAAAATGGTTAAATAAGGTTCTAAGTTTTGTTTTGCTGTTGAAGTAGCAAACGCAGTAGTACCCAGGTTTGGTCCCCACCTCAAAACTTTTTTTTTAATTTTTCACTTAATCATTTCAAGTAACTAAATCAAATCTTTTATAGTTTAATTTTACTTTAAAAGGTCACAACAACTATAATTACATAAACAAAATTTAAATAATAATTTTTAAAAGAACAAAAAAAGATGTAAAAAATGTTTCCTGGCAGTGGGATCCGAACCCATGACTTCCCGGCTTGCTAAATCCGCAATTCTGCTGCGTGAACTAATTGAAGTACTCATATCTCTTTATATTGCCGAGTAAATTTTTTTCCTTCATATGGATAAGTCTGTTCTTTCTCATCTTAACAAAAAACTGTTTCAAAGATGTCTGTGATTGACACTACTTAAAAATCTATTCTAAACTTTAAATTTTATTTTAACAAGAATGAGTTTAACAGCGTAAACTCCTTTTAGCCTTAATCAATAATAAAAAATCGTGGTACAAAGCTCAATAAAAAAATATTGAAAGTAAAATGGTAATAAGCCACAATAACATTGACAAATACATAGTTTAGGAAGAGTCTGCCTGAAACTATACAAAAAAGCAAATAAGCAAATGGATGTATAGAATTGACAACAACAACCACGCTGTGGAGTTTAAATAGCGACAAATCAGCTGCACTTGACAGTAGTTGGTTGAATAAGGAAAAATGAATTAGCAACAAGAGTTTACGGGATGTATATAATTCAGTGGTCAACGCTTCTGACTTTGAACCTCGATTGCGCAGGTTCGATCCCTGCTGAAGTCTAGAAAAAAGAAGCCTGATGAGGAGATGTGGTGATCTCCGAAATAGCTGCTTTAACTTCTACCGCTTAGACTAGCGAATTTATGGCCTTAAAATTACCTATTTACTGAGAAGGAAATTCTCCTATTTGGAAAGATTTTTATTTCAATTTTAAAAGGTTTCGGTGGGCATTTGAAATGCTTTATGTAAATAACATGTAAAAAAAATTATTTTCATTAAAAATGGTATAACTTTTGAACCCTTAATTAAAGTTATAAAAAAAGGGATCAACGTTTTTTGTAGGCATATTCTGGAAGGGCATTAAATTCTCTAAAAAATTACCCTGAAGTTAGTTGTCTTAGAGACGATTAAGAGTATTAAACATGTTAATGATATAGAAATAGTCAAAACTTGTTAATATGTGGCGGTGTCATAATTATGCAACGCAGTGTACTACACTGAGGGAAAAAAATATTAAAATCAAATAAAAACGTAATTAATCTTACTATAAACGTCAACGAAAGTACTGTATATTGGTAAATATTCAATTCCATTACGAGCATAGTTGATTTGGCATTAAATATGAAATAACTCGAATCGAATATGACATTTTTGAAACTCAATATAATACGGCCATATTTTATTTTACTATATAATATTTGAGAGAGATTTGAATACGAAAATTTTGTTTTCAATTAGATGATATTCAAATCCTTATCAAATATAAAATATTAAAATTCACTACATTCATATTTGATAGTGTTTTGAATATTTATATAGTATAATTAAATGTGAAAATAATAAAATTTTCTTTGTTAAAATATTTTTTTTTTATGGGTTTGGAAAGCATTTTATTGAATATAAATATGCATGCATTTACATTAACGCTCTTACGAACTAAGCTTAAAGGTTATTATATCTTATAAAAGTTCTCCCGCCGATTACAGAATGCAAATGCATCGGGCGTGTAGTAAAGTCTTTAATGTTTATTAATGTTATTTCATTTTAAGCAGAGCCAACTTCGTATGAGCAAAAGTGTTTATTAAATGGTTTTACTTGTATAGCTTTTGATAATATGTAAATATTATCATCGCAATATAATATTAATAATATTTTGAATAACTTAAAATTACTATTCAAAATACCTACATATGAATCCTTTTTATATTTTAAGTTACCATACAATATATATTTGGGCACACATACATTTTCAAAATCAATTTTAAGATTTCCTGTTATTATATATTTGCAAAAATCTTTTTCTTTCAAATTGTCTTTATAAAAATGTTCATCTATATCAAATAAAGTTGGTAAACCGATTGAATATTTTTGCAAAATTGAAGAAAATTTATAGCTTGTTTTCAGTGCAATTGTTTTTGTGCAATTAAGGCGAGATGTTACGTTTTGAAAATAAATTTTACTTTCTTTATGCTTAGCTTCAAACCTCATAGACCAATTGTACCTTAATAAGCCTAGCATTTCAATCGTTCTCGGGTAATGAAGCATAAAATGATGCTTGGGTTTAAGGCCTCCATAAAGTTTAAAATACAGCCTGTGGTGCTTTTTTATTAATCTTTCTAAACTTTTTATATCATCCTCTGTCAATTCCATTTTGTACAATAAATCCAATATATTTACAAGATAGATTAATAGAGTCCAGTATTAATTGTTCATTGGAATAAGATCACCTAACATTAATGGCAAAAAATTTATAAAGCAATACACTTCAGTGGCGGTCATTTTTAAATTACAGTCAAGTAAATGTTGTTATGGTAATATAAATGTTTCCGACCTCTAGCTCTCCATTCGGAAAAAGATTTTTATACCCGAGCGCACTTGTGCACAAGGGTATATTAATTTTGTTCACATAACGGTTGTTTGTAACAGCCAAAACGAATCGAGATAGATATAGACAAATGTATACATAAATGATCAGGATGAAAAAAGAAATCGATTAAGCCATGTCTGTCTGTCCGTCCGTCTGTCCGTCTGTCCGTCTGTCCGTCTGTCCGTCTGTCCGTGTACACGATAACTCGAGCAAAAATTGAGATATCTCAACGAAATTTGGTATTTAGGTTTCCCTTAATCCAAGGTAGGTTGGTATTGAAAATGGGCGAAATCGGATTTTAACCACGCCCACTTCCCATATAACGGTAATTTCCAGAAATACGAAAACTGCGATATTTTAGTAACTACTGAAGATAATTCACTCAAAATTGATATTTACAATAATTTTTAGACGAAAAATAAGAATATTATAAATTTTTGGAAAATGGGCGTAGCCACGCCCACTTATGGTTACATGTGTATATCTTGGTAACCGCTGCACCAATTTCTTCCAAACTTGGCACAGTTGTTGGCCTTCGCATAACATACCAAATTGCCGAAAATTTTTAAAATCGCTCAATAACCACGCCTACTTCCCATATAACGGTAATTTTCAGAAATACGAAAACTGCAATATTTTAGTAACTACTGGAGATTATTCACTCAAAATTGATATTTATAATAAGTTTTAGACGAAAAATAAGAGTATTATAAATTTTTGGAAAATGGGCGTAGCCACGCCCACTTATGGTTACATGTGTATATCTTGGTAACCGCTACACCAATTTCTTCCAAACTTGGCACAGTTGTTGGCCTTGGTACAGCATAAAAAACCGCCGAAACTTTTTAAAATCGGACAATAACCACGCCCACATCCCAAATAACGGTAATTTAGAGAAATACAAAATCTTCGATAAATCATTAAATATTGAAGCTAATTTTTTCAAAATTGATGCTTGCAACAATTCTTTACCAAGAAATACGTTTATGGTAAAATTTTGGAAAATGGGAGTGGCACCGCCCACTTATGATCACATATAAGTATATCGGTAACCGTTCTACCAATTTGTACCAAACTCGTTATGGTTATTGTACTTGCCACGTGTAAGCAAAACGTTGAAAATTATTGAAATCGGACTAATATAACGGCCGATTCTCATATAACGGTAAATTTAAGAAATGCTTGAAACTTCAATATTTCGAAATTGAAGGATGCTAATTTACTCAAAATTGTTACAACTCGGCTTACCATCTAGCGGAAGGTTTCGGAAGGGTGAAAAAACATATATTTAATACTTGCGCCGGGTATTTAATGTTCGGCTCCGCCCGAACTTAGCCTTTCTTACTTGTTTCTGTTGTTAATAATGTTAAGAGAGAGTAATTTCTCTTCTATTAATGAGAACAAAATCTTTGTAACATCGTATTTGCAAACCCCTTCGAGCAAGTCATGCATTATGTCACAACAACAATTATCTAAAACATGATAATGGTCGAGTCTATTAAAAATACACTCCTCCGAAACACCTGAAATAATGCCTTCAAATATATCGGCTGCATAACTTTCTTTTGTCCTAATAGCCTTTTCCACGAAATCATGTTTAGTTTCCTCTTTCGATCTTCTACATGCCCTACAAAATCTGTGCGCACTAAATGACTTAGAAAATCCTAATACCCCATTAAGAGCAAGATTATCTCCAGGTACTGCTGTGAACAAAAACTTTACAGTTTTGTTTTGTATGAAAATACCCTTCTCTAACAGAACTAGTTCATTTAGTAAGCTATTAAATGCTAACTCATTTCCATATTTCTTTAAATTTTGCGTAGCTATAGCAGCATGAAATATAAAGTCAAGCTTTGAACTTAAATATTGAGGGAATGTTGGAAAATTATTGTAGCAGCCACAGATGTAAAAAGTGTGCGTTCCTAGCGCATTATTTACTTGGAAATCGTCGAAATATATATTGTATGGTATTACTATTTCATTTGAAACACAAGAAAGTACTGCTTTTTTAAAAACTGTGCCACTTACAATATTACAAATGTTCTTGTTATTAAACAATTGCATAGAATTTGCAACTACAATATCTAATACGCCATTTAATTCAAAAAAAGATTTAAATTGAAATGATAATGGCATAATTTCAATAGTTCGCTTTTTTCTGACAATGTTGGAATACCTTTTGCAATATTTTCTGCTATTACGTTTTCAATAATAATAGTCTTAGGACCCTGATACATATTTGTTTTACTTAAGTGTTTAATAATAAGATATTCTGATGGTATGTTTTCAAAGGCATTGCTGCAAACATTAGAAAGAAGTTCTAACTCTGAAGTTAGGATCTGCCTTGTTAAACTCTCTCTTTTTACAACGTTGTTTAAACATTCTGAAACAATTTGAAAAGATTTTGCGATTCATTTTGTACAAATAGTACATCTTTTCTAGACATAGAACTTTTTGAATACAATTTTAATGAAAATTACAATAAATTGTTCGGGAGCTTCGAAACCAATGTATTGTAATCTTCATTTGAAACTCTATATCCTTCATGTACTTGTACACTTAAATTTTCAATAGCACATGGCTGGGTTAATTTTTTCTGTATTACTTCATTTTCTGAGCTTTCAGTTATATTTTTACAAATCTCAAATTTTTCATTCATACATTTTTGCAAATGGTTTTTGAAATTACCGAACGATGCAAATAATTGCTTACAATTACCAAAAGTACAAATCTTTGTATGACTTTGCTTAAGAGAGTGATATGATTTTAAATGTGCTATATAACAGCAGGTTGTTTGAAACATTTTTTACATAAAAAGCAAATCATATTGAAATATATAAATATTATTTATTTTTAAGGTAATTTACAAGCGACAGCAGAGCAGGTGTTTTAATATCTGACGTTGTTTCGATCTCAAAGAAATATCTCTGAATAAAGGTCCAAGCGTTGGCAGCAACTGCGGGATACTTTAGATTTAAAACTTGAAATATTTTAAAAGTACAATCCAGACATTCAATAAAAGAGTCAAACTTGTAAATGATTTTATCAATATAAGCAAAAAAGGCTTTAGGTGATAAATATGTTCCCTCCATTATTATAAAAGGTTGAACTGTAAATGAATTCATATAACATTTGTCAACATACTTTTGAATTTCTTCATAAACATTGCCTATAGTTTCTACTTTGATAATAAAGAACTCTTGCGCGTCCAATATTGTAGCTTTTGCTTTTGATGCTCCTGACGTGTTGTGGAATCTAGCGGTTGGAGGTAGAATTGAATGTATTAGCGTTGTTAGCACACAATTTTCAGCGTCTAAACAAGGAAAAAAATACATGTTTACTAAAATTTTTTAAATTGTTATTTCAATATATTAGGTCTTATGAATAAAAACCACGCAATTGCTTTTCTTTAAAATTATTTGAATAAATCGAGTAAAAGGTCTGATATTTTAAGAAAAATCAATCGCTTGGTTTTTATTCTTAAGGCACATTATTTTCCGCTTCTAACACCTCTTAAATTTGACATACAGGCAACCACAAAAGTCTAAGCACAGAGGATTTTTTACAATGTATGCAAAGCTTTTTGATAATTTTTTTTAATTTCAATAGATGTTCAATTTTCTAATCAGTTTTGTATATAAAATTTTAGTATAATAAATTTCACTAAATTTTCCTTAATTTTGCACAAGGTTTAGAAATTTAATTTTTATGTTTTTTTGTATATGAACTATATCTTTCCAAAAATTTATCGGAAACAAATTAAAATAAAAACCTTTGCATACTTTGCAATGCATTGTGAAAAATTCTACGAGCCTAGACTTAAGTAGTTTACTGTATGCATACAAAATTACCTATTTGTTTCACACCACTTAAGTCTTTCAAAAGGGATTTGCAGGCGGCGTTGGCAATATTTAAGTAGTAATATTCTCGAATATTCTGTTTAAAAGCACTCCATTTAGTTTTTATACCCGAGCGCACTTGTGCACAAGGGTATTATAACTTTGTTCACATAACGGATGTTTGTAACAGGCAAAACGAATCGAGATAGATATAGACAAATGTATACATAAATGATCAGAATGAAAAGAGAAATCGATTAAGCGGTGACTGTCTGTCCGTCCGTCCGTCCGTCTGTGCACACGATAACTCGAGTAAAAATTGAGATATCCTAATGAAACTTGTTACGTGCACTTCTTTCGGGCGTAGGACGGATGGTATTTAAAATGGGCAAAATCGGACAATAACCACGCCTACCTCCCATATAACGATAATTTTCCGAAATACGAAAACTGCGATATTTTAGTAACTACTGAAGATTATTCACTCAAAATTGATATTTACAATCATTTTTAGACGAAAAATAAGAATATTATACATTTTTGGAAAATGGGCGTAGCCACGCCCAGTTATGGATACATGTGTATATCTTGGTAACCGCTGCACAAATTTCTTCCAAACTTGGCACAGTTGTTAGTCTCGCTACAGCATACCAAATGGCCGAAAATTTTTAAAATCGGACAATAACCACGCCTACCACCCATATAACGGTAATTTGGAGAAATAGGCTGCCTTCCAAAACGTATCAATACAATGTTTGGAAACTGTTATACTGCGGTTTTCAAACTGTTTGTATATGCAGAGTTGCGACACATTGCAACCTTATACATTGCATATTTTAAATATTCAATTTAGAAATGAACAATTTTTCTGAATTTTGCATTTTTAAAACACCAATGTTAACCAAAAACAAACGTAGCATCAACTTTGTTTCTGATGCGCTGATTGCTCTAGCGATGCGTTTCGATAACTTTTCGAATGCGTTTTGGAAAAGTGTACATTGTCAACATTCTGTAGTTCGACGTTATGGGACATTATACTTTGTACGTATGCAAAGCAATTGACGTTTTGGAAGTCAGCCATACGAAATCTTCGATAAATCAATAAATATTAAAGCTAATTTACTCAAAATTGATGCTTGCAACAATTCTTTACCAAGATATACGTTTATGATAAAATTTTGGAAAATGGGTGTGGCACCGCCCACTTATGATCACATATATGTATCTCGGTAACCGTTCTACCAATTTGTACCAAACTCCGTATGATTATTGTGCTTGCCCCATAGAAGCAAAACGTTGAAAATTATTGGAATCAGATTCAAATTACGACCACCTTTCATATAATGGCAAATTTCAGAAATGCTTGAAACTTCAATATTTCGAAATTTAAGGACGCTAATTTACTCAAAATTTATACACAGCGGCTTACCATGTGGCGGTACCTGCGACGGGTATTTAATGTTCGGCTCCGCCCGTACTTAGACTTTCTTACTTGTTAATAAATGTTCTTTGTTAGGATGCAACCGCTTGAAGTCGGAGTTTATCTGTATACAAAAAAAAAAAGTTTATATATACATGGAAGTAAATGAGTGATATGCAAGAATTAACTGCGAGCCTTTTTAGTTCATACAAAAATTTTGAATTAACGTAACAGTGAAAAACGCGGGTGATATGTTCAATATAAAATTAGAGAACTTACCAGTTGGGGCCTCTGGCGTCTTTTAACTTTGGCCACTCCTTAATAAAATCGTAACTACTCAGAAGTGATAAATCGCGTTGTTGAATGTTATAAGATCTGTCCCATCTATCTAGAACCACTTCCCAATCCGATGATTCCCTTCGTAACTCCTCTTTTATACTAGCTTCAATCGATTCATCAAACTCAGTTGCTAGATCAGGAATTGAGGTATCCAAATTATCGCACCTATATTTAGTTGTTCCTTTTTTCTTCTTTACTTTGCGGTATTATTTATATATTTTGAAAATAATTTTCCAGCAGAATGTAATAATATTCTTAAATTAAAAAAGTTATTAGTATGTACCTAAATTAAACGTTTTGATAACATTTTTAATTATATCGAAAATTTTTTGCATTACCAAAGAACATTTTTCTTCGGGAAACAACACTTGTATGTCTTTTAAAAATTGCTCGAAGTTGACGGGCCTTAATTTTATATCATTTGCAACAACGTGTTCCACAACAGCGTTTATAATCCGATCGCGTTGGCTATTATTTAAATGTCCGTTGCACTCATAGTAATCATGAATGGTTCTACCAGCAGAACAGTCTCTTAGTATCCTCTTTAAAGACTAAAAACGAATTATTTAAATATTTTTCACTGATTACATATAATGTATGTATTTATAGTACACACCACATAATGGAATTCACATTGGTCATCATTGCTGTGTAGCATGTCAGCATCATAGGTCCGAATAAAGATGACGTACATAATTAACATCTTGCACTTGCTGTATGAATTTTTATTACGCTAACAATAGTGGTATCCACCAAAGTGAGCAAGTGGCCTGGCTGTTGTCAACGGTCGTTGCTTGATTTGGTGAATACAACTAATAATGCGCAAAATTTTCATAGGAGCGCAGGGTGATTAAAAGCAGCCTCGCAGAATTATTCCTGCGACGCAAAGCGCTTGTGGAAGCACGGAAGCTATTTGCGTATACTCATATATGTATATGTACATACATACATACATATGAGGGAATCAGCGCCATTGGTAAGCTGAGGAAAACTACTTCGAAATATATACACATATACTATATGTACATACATATATACATACCATCAGCGCAAATTGAAACCAACAATTTAGGGCTCGCGATTCAAATGTATTCCGGGCGTCCGGGCGTTTTTAAAAAATACTTTTACACGATTAATAAGAAGACAACAATTTGGTTTGGGCTCTCGAATCAGACTGAATTAAATTATTTATTCAATTTAACATGAAGCTTATATTCTAGTTACAATATTTGCTTACTAGTTACTTTTGGCACATGAATTTAATAAAACTGCTTGCTAATCAATTTGTTCCATGTGAACAAAATAAAACTGCTTGCTAATCAATATGTTCCCCAATTTACTAATTCTCGGAAATTTGGTGTCTTTTTGATTTTCAATTTCTCTTTTTGTGTACAACTTTTGCAATATGCCGGAAATGGTTTTATGTTTCAACTTTGCTTCAAGAATTCTTCATACTTATCAATTTCACCGTCAGGTGTTTTTGTGTAGCTGTTAATATATATAACTCGCGCGCAGCGTTAGGAGAGTTGATGTGATTCCCTGATATGTATGAACATAGTAAATGCGCACATAAATATGGGCTTGTTCGAGTTGCAATCACAAGCGCAGTGTTGCGCGAATTATTAAAGTATCACGTTCTGTGTGAATCTCTAGCAATGTATTATCAGTTGGGCAGTTGCAACAATGTTGCCATTTTTCATCAGTACAATAGTAATGTCGCTTTTATTACGTGCCTCGAACGGGCCCTATGTATGCATACTTGTACTTTTATGCACAAAGGGATGCAATTCTATCGCTTACATGCATTATTTTCATTAACAAAATACACTAGCACTTTCAATAACAATGTTTTTGTAAAAAATCTACATTACATACCTGCTTATTTCGCCAAGAAAAAAGCTTTTCGCGGAATTCGGCTCTTATTCCCACTTTTCTTACAGCGTCGGCGATATCTCCTTCGCTCAAAAAAAGGTAAATGGCGAAATTCAATGCCAGCCTCTAGAACAATCAATATTACATGTTTTTATAATAAATATTTTATACAAATTTCTTCTACTTACCAGTGAGTTTTTCCAGCAGTTCATCCAAGTCAAAACTATGCAAAATGTCTTTTAATTTTTCAGACATTCTTCTAGATCAAGCACAAGCTGCTACAAAATCATAACGGTATAAATGAATTACGCACAAACAAAACGATTGTTCGAACTACAAAACCAGTGTTCGGAGGACTGTAACTCGATTTAGGAGTAAGTCTCTTCAAAAATGGGAGTAATAAAAAAATTTTCGTATAAGATTTGCATTTTTATTTTCGCTTTCATACGAATCAATAATTTTTAAATTTTACATCGGACAGATCTTATGAGCAAGTAATTTTTCTACTTAATTGCTCATGTACATGCTTCTAAAAAGCACTCTGAAACTTTTACTGAGTTGCAGGAAATACTAAATCACTTAAACTACTTTTCAATTGACGTAAAAACAAAAACGCGAACCAATGTAAGAATAATGTGTTGCATATTTATGTAGTTATGGGTATTTTATATAAAAGAGAATATGTATACATTTCAGATCTTAAAAAAAAAGCATAAGGCCCTGGACCTTTTCTGCTTTATTTAAACCTCTATCTAAATTTATTTTTTTAAACACTTAATTAATTGCAAAAAACGGGACCAATAGGCCCAGAATGTAAGTGAAAAAACGGCGCAGGTTTTAAGTCAGGAGGAGTAGATTTAAAAAATTAAAGAAACCGGAGTAAATCTCCATTAATCGGAGTGAAGTCCGAACGTGATGCCAACATCTTCTTCAGTGTTGCCATTTTAGCCGTTTTCCGGCTAGATTTAGCCGGTTGCGATAGCAAACAGCCGGAGAAATTTCAATTTAGCCGGCAGCCGATTTGTTTACCGTTAAAAAAAATTAGCCGTTTTTAGCCTATTTTGCTATATGCCTTATTTTCTTATTTTTTAAACAAACTTTTTTTTTGCTGAGAACTTATTTAAATACCAAAAACCGAAGGCCAACTTGAATTAAAGGAACCAACACTGAAATACGTCAAAATGAAAATAAAAGAGCACAAATTTCTATGTAAATCGAAACTCTCTGGGAAGACAATAGGTTTGTTCGTCGAAAATCTAGCTGTATATATCACTCGATATATCAAGTAGTAAGAAAAAATGCTCCCAAATCCTCTCTCAAGTAAAGAAACTTGCAAATTTCTACACGAACGCAAATTTGCAGGAATTTTCAAGTTTCCCGGCCACCTAGTGGAATTTAAAAAAAATCTTTCAGGAGGGGAAAAACAGGATCTACATGTATATTTTTTGTTAGTCCGACTTTCTTCAACAAACGTTTCAATTTCATTGTCGTAGTAACTGTCGGGTTTCCTATATCGACTCTGGTTGAGATTGTATTGCGATTACGAATACACTTTTTTTTAGCCGAGCACCTTTCAAAACATTGGAATTAACTAAATTAATTAAGTAACCAAGTATTTGCTTACATTTTTCATTTTAAAATCGCTCTAGTGCGTAAATTTTTAAATGTAACGAGCTTGTTTATTCAAATTATCGTCGACAAAAAAATCCAACCATGTGCCACAATCATATGTTTTTCCTAATTGCAAATTATTGCTGGACAATTTTTTTCTAGCTTGAATTTGCAACTTCTCTCCAAGAACTAGTCTTTCTACTTGTGATTTATTTAAACAAAACATGTGAAATTTAGCTGAAACAGTTTAGCCGTTTATAGCCGGTTTTTTTTGCCAATTTAGCCGGTTGGTTCAAAACGTTCTGGCAACACTGATCTTCTTGTTCTCTCTCCGCTCAACATACATATGAACATGCGCCGTTCGTGAGTTCAAGAGCATGTATGTACGAATGTGTTGTCCTCTATAGATCAAATATAAAGTAGTCGTTTTTACTATGCATTATTTCCCTCAGTGTATGGATAACTGGGCTATAAGCATCCCAAAATCAAAGCGAGACAACCTAGTACCGTTTGTGTGAATATATTGTGTACGTGAGTGCCGTTTTTGTGTATGTGTTGTGTACATGTTTTTTAAAGTCCAGCGCAAGTGTATTTGCTGCATTTCGTTCAATAAGTACTCCTTGCATTGTACTCTACTCCCAACACATTGTTACTCTTTTTCCGCATACATACACTGCTTGGCGTTGAGAGAGTAAATACTTGACGAACTTGCTATTACTCCACCAAAGTAGGTACTCTACTTTCTCTCATCGCGTACGAGAGATATTTGCTGCTGCCAAAAGGGAGTAGCAAATCTACTCTCTGTATACTTGTAGTACTGTAAGTAATTGCGTATTAAATTTCAATTCTGGTTGTTAGCCTACTAGTTGATATCGTTTGCGGCGCTGGTCATTGAAATTGAAAGAGTAAAAATAGAATATGGAAATTGACGATGTAAGGAAATGTTTACGGCCTTATTTATAAAAAATAACGTAGATTTAGACAGTTGTTTAATGTGACATTTTCATAAAACTTTTGTATTCAAGCAGCTTTTTAAATCTATGTAAAGAATGTACACGAAAAAAACTGGTCACAGTTAAAACGTTCTAAAACATAAATATATTAATGGAATTCAACGATATTTAAATATATTTACATCTAAACTTAGTTTTATTGAAATTCGTTAAAAAAGAGTTAATTCTCCTTGTAATAAGCAAACGATCGCAATTTTGACTTTATGTCCTTCATTAGCCCTTGCACAGAAGTTTCAGTGATTTCCTTGGAAACCAGCTGCCATTTATTTTTGAATTGTTGTGCGTTTTTTACAGCTTTGTGGGTCTTAAGAAGTTTGGATTTCATAACGGCCCAGTAGGTTTCGATCGGCCGATGCTCTGGACAATTAGGTGGATTCACCTCTTTTGCTACAAAATACACTTTGTTTCTATGTTACCATCCTAAAGCCATTTTTCCGTAATGACATATCGCGAGATCAGGCCAAAAAAGCACTGGATCTTTATGAAGCCGTATAAGAGGTAAAAGTCGCTTTTGCATACACTCCTTAACATAAATTTCTTGGTTAATTGTACCAGTGCTTACAAAAGGATCACTTTTGAAGCCGCATTGGCAAATTGCCTGCCAAATGAGAAACTTTTTGGGAAATTTGTCAAACTTTTTGTTTTTATATTTATCTGCAACATTGCCTCTTTTATTTTCAGTGTGAAATTCGCGGCCCCGGATTTGTTTAAAATCGGCTTTAACGTACGATTCGTCATCCATAACAATACAGCCAAATTTTTGTATGAGACTGTCGTACAATTTCCGAGCACGTTGTTTCGCCAACAAATTTTGCTTACCGTTGCGATTAGGTGCTGCATTCACTTTGTAAGAACGTAGTCCTGCTGTTTTGCATACTTTTTGTATATACGAAGACGACATGTTTAATTTTTTGCCGACATCTCTTACCGAAAGTCCAGGATTTTTCTTAAAAGCAGATAACACTTCCTTTGCCTTAATTTCGCAAGCAAATCCTTTTTTTCTGCCACTACCAGGGTTCCTTTTTAAAGATAAACATTCATTGCATTTTTTAAGCACATAAGTAACGGTAGACTTTGGAAATTGTAGCTTTTTTGCGATATCGTTATGGAACATGCTGGGATTTTCCAGCTTTTTGCGCTATATTAACTCGCGATCGATTTCTTTCTTGGTCATCGTTTCTACACTGATTTTTGTTACTAAAAAGAAATGATGCAGTAAGGTGGAAAATGCTTCCAGCTTTTTAAGTGTCTACTGATTTTTATTTTAATGTTATGATTAACCGAGCTATGCTTGGTTATGTGCGACCAGTTTTTTTCGTGTACATTCTTTATGTACTTATATTTTTATGAAAGTATTATTTCTCGTTTCCAATTTTCTATAAAACTCTTTGCAGTCATTAACGAACAAATAAGTTGTCAAAAACAACAAGAAATAAAATTATTAGTG